GTGTGAGTCAGACTCTGGACGATGATTGGCCTAACCCGTCTGGAGTGCGCCTAGTCGCGTTTGTACGTGATCTTTTTCTGTGGCGTCTCGCGATAGGAGGTGAGCCGCAGAGCCACTACAAACTCACTGTGACGACTCACACTGTGGACGTTGCCGCCCTCGGGTGCCAACGCACGCTCGTCCGACTGTCCAATTCTTCCAGCCTATTGCCCACTAGCTCTGTAAGGAATATACTATTCCTTCCACCTGGAGTTCCATTTCCTTAGTCCCCACGCGGAACAGGACCTGAAGCTCGCAGCGGTTAGGGTTTTCCCTATTAACTTAAACCACAGCGATAACCTCACACGTGGACCGTGGTCAACAAACTGGTCGATGGAAAATTGAGAAAAAAGTATATGATAAATTATTAGAATAGATTAATAAAATATACAGTAATACTGATACATAAATGAACCAAAGTTTTTAGGACTTCTTGGGCAACTTCATTCATTGGTCAAGGTGGAACAAAGATCTGAGGATCTGTGTGCTTCAACTCAAAATTCTGCGGATAAGCCACCAGTTTATTCCCTTTAACACACAGAATGGTAGACAGCAAGGGTAAAAGGGAATATACTTGAAGCCATGACAGGGCTAAAGGAGGAGGTAAGGGGTGACGTGTATAAACAGCAAAAACGTGGTTAACGACGACGCTGAGGGGGACTGCCAGTTAACCTATTTCTCCTACGTGCGGCGTAAGACAGAACACCAGGTCTGTTTTGTAAACAGGGAAGTCAATGGGTGGATATGTAATTACATAGCGACTGTTCGCAGCTAGGAAGTTGGGCTGAGTTGCTACTTTGTGTCTAACGGAGGAATCAGTAGCGTCAGCAGCTTGTGGTAACGCCGCCGACGGGACCTGGAGGCTAGCTACAAAAGAGGGTAGTTGGGCCTGTTCCTTAACACTACTCGCCTTCGAAGAACGCTGAACCTGCGGTTTGCCCTCCAATGAACAGGAATTTGATGATGGGTTTTGGCCTAGCGGGTCGTGGGTGTCCCCCTGGCATTCTGGCCGCCCAGCACCAACCCGGGCAGTGAGTATGGCGCAGGCCGAGGTGCTGAGTCTAAATAGACCAAGACAGAGGATGCCATAACGCGTAAGCGCCTCACAGAAGAGTTTTCCGAAGGTCATTTGGGAGCCCCTATTCTGAGATCGGATACTGGCTAGCTGTGGATCCTGGAAACTCATTTGGCTGATCTGTGGACGTTTGTATTTATTCTGACTAATCGTCTGGCTGAACCTTTTCGCTAATTCACGCTCTAGTCTCTTGAATGCATCGTCTTGGAGGTCCATAATATCACAGAATTCATCGCCGTAGCTTGCCCACCTTTCCAGCACCGGTGTTGTCCCACCAGTAACCAGGTGCCGTATCAGCGTTATAGCGTTG